AATATGTACTTCTATATAAATATACTTATATATGTAAAGTATATGTATTCTATTCGTTACCCTAGTATCCCATAACGCAAGCCTTACAGTGCTTACTTTGGGCTAGGCTAATTGGTGTGAGTGTTGGAAATATTTATTTTATTTATTTATTTACTGTTTATTTGTATTCAAACGAAAACAATACAATCAGTACACTTAGTACGAGTGCGAGCTCACGAAAACTATCACAGTTTTCGTAATTGTAAAATTCGTACTAAGGGTACAGAATGTTAAAATACCGGCCGCCCTTACACAAATCTCTCGCTTCGTATACATTTGTGTTACGATAGGCTAGAGGTTCCCAAACCTATTTATTGAAGTTATACTTCTTTAGCCGCGTTATGAAAAAAATATGAGAGTGAAATTTTAAGATGCGCGCGCATCACTGTAACACAAAAGTAACATAATGAAGTTAGCCGCGGGCGCGTTATGAAAAAATTATGAGAGTGTAATTTTAAGATGCGCGCGCAACACTGTAACAGAAAAGTAACACCATGAAGTCGGCCGCTAAACCGCACATTACTCGTAAGTCTCGAAAAAAAGCTTCCAACAAAGTCTTAGTCGCACATGTTGGGACGCTCGTCGCCTCTGATCACTGTTTTCATATTTATAATATTTATCCACATGTTTCTAGTTTCTATATTCTTAACACGTGTTATAATGTTATACAAATGCGAAATTTATATGTGCTAACAAATTTTATTCAGTAGTGATTTAAATTGAATATTTTGATTATTTATTAAATTTTTCAAATTAAACTGAACTTTATTGACAGCGTTGACTATCCTTTTCCAATCCTTTTATTATCTTATTGTAATTAATTATCTGCTTTTTTTTGTAGCCAGATAGGCAAATGACTCTTCCCCACCTGATGTTAAGTGGTGATAAAGTCCACACACAACAAGATAAAGTAGCTGGTACAGCAGTTATAAACTGCTACTACAACCATCCTCACCTTGCCGGCCTGCAAAAATGTTTTTTCACGCCTCTCTTAAAGGACCCCAGATTGTAGGCAGGAGAATTATTTTGTCTACTGCTCACTTTCAGAATAAATATATATTCTTAAAAACCCCTATAACTTCAAATTAAATGAATTCCTCTAGATGAAATTACAAATCGCCCCCCAAGCCTCTACACAACGGCCCCATTTAAGGTGCTATAGGCGCTATAGGCCTACGCAGACGAAGAACTTTTGTCGGCGGAGGACCAAAAGTCCTCCAATCGTGAAAAAAATGTCCGCTGAAGACTTGTCCATGTCACGGACGCAACGCACACGGTGTGCGAACATCGGTGCCCGAAAATTTTGAGAAGCGCACGTTTTGAAGTAAAATATTCTCCGATTACGTTATGTTGTAATTAACATGAAGTTAGGAAACCATTTATTTATTTATTCAAAAAACATGCTGTCTTACAAAGCTAGATTAACCACATCAGCAGGTCACATTAATTATAATTATAAATTAAATACAAATTATACATGACAATAAAATCACAATTAAATAAATATAATAAAATTAATTAAATATGCTATGTCAATGTCAATAGACATTTACAAGCTTCGGTAATAATATGTTCGATATGGGTGTCGATTCTAGCACGATTCTCTAAATCTAAACTTAAATTTGACAACAGTGTTTCCTTGTCATTCTCTATACAGAATGAAAAAGAGAGACTGATGTTAAAATTAGTTTTAAGTTTAGAGAATCACGCCAGAATCGACACCATTGTCGGCTTAAACATCTAATTGATCGCACTGAGCGAGCACGCTGAAAAAGAGATGTTTTAAAAGAGAATACTGGGTCCATCGCTTTTAATCGGAGCGAGCGCGCAACGCTAAGATGGGTGGAAGAGGAGGAGCCTGCCTACCACTGCCGTATGTGCGAGAGGAAGGGAAGCCAGACAGACAAGCGCCGTAACGCGTTACGTAACAAAGCGGTTTACCCTCCCACAATAAGTTATCACTTCAAAAACTATACTTCGATGTTAAAAAAATTCAAAAAATTCATTCAAAATTCAATATCGTTTATTCAGTCTAGGCTGTTACAAGCACTTGTGAATGTCGAAAAGCTACGCCATCGGTTCGCAAAACTACGGCGGGAGACCTTGTACTGAGAAGAACCGGCAAGAAACTCAGCAAGGGCTGCTTTTTTCTCCCTGTTTTATTTCATACAGTGTCGTCCAATTGAAAGATGACATCAAACTTGCAAACATGTGTTGAGGTCAACTTCCATCACATAATATCAAATATGTAACAATCAATGAATTTACTAACAATAAGTGCAAAGATAAGTCCCAAAATAGCAAGAAACAATTTTCAAAACAAAATGAACAAGTATATGAAAGGGAGTAAGTGCAAGGTTCTCTTCAAAACTCTTTCTAAGGCTGGGAGCCTTAGTTTTAATATAACTTTTGAAAAATTATCTACAGGTAAAATTACAACCAGGCCGTTTTATCATTCAAATATTGATTGACAGTATAATATCCTTTCTTAAGTAAACAATTCTTAATGTGTATTTTAAATTTATGAGGAGGCAAATCAAGGATATCAATAGGAATCTTATTATAGAAATGTTTACCTTGACCCATAAATGATTTATGAACCTTCTGCAATCTGTAATTTGGTATCTTGAGTTTATTTTTATTCCTTGTATTAAAAGAATGTATGTCACTGTGTTTTAGATAATAGTTAATATTGCTTCGAACAAAAAGTATGCAATTATAAATGAATTGAGAAGCAACAGTCAAAATCCCGATTTCTTTAAATTTTTCTCTAAGAGATGTTCTAGAACTAAGTTGATAAATAGCCCTTATAGCTCTTTTTGCAAGATAAATATAGTTTCAATATCGGCTGCTGATCCCCAGAGAATAATACCATAGGATACAATACTATGAAAGTAACTAAAGTATACAGTTCTAGCAGTAGCTACATCAGTTAGTTGACTTATTTTACGTATGGCATAGGCTGCTGAACTAAGTTTACCAGCTAGCAGAGAAATATGAGGATACCATTGCAATTTCGAGTCTATGGTTATACCTAAGAATATCGTTGACTCAAATAAATCTAGGTTTTCATTGTTTAATTTAATTCTAATGGTTTCGCTTCTAACATTAGGTAAAGTGAATTTAATGCATTTGGTTTTATTTGCATTTAATTTTAAGTTATTTACATTAAACCAGTGCAATACTTGTGAGAGAGCATTATTTACATCGTCAAAGTTATTCTTGTATCGGTCAACCTTAAATAATAAAGAAGTATCATCAGCAAACAATACGATCTCACACAATTTTTCCACAAAAAATGGCAAATCGTTTATGTACAATAAAAATAGAAACGGACCTAAAATCGATCCCTGGGGAACGCCCATTTTCACATAAGATCCAGATGACTTAACACCATTTACCTCTACAGTTTGAACTCTGGAACTGAGATACGATAGTAGCAAGTTTTGGGCTGCGCCTTTGATTCCATAGTGATTTAATTTTAACACCAGCGTCTGGTGCTCAACGCAGTCAAACGCCTTGGATAAGTCACAGAATACCCCAAGAACATTCTGCGAATTCTCCCAGGCTTCCATTATATGTCTAATAAGTGCAACACCCGCATCCGTTGTTGATCTACCCCTAGTAAAGCCAAATTGATTATTATGTAACAGTTTGTTCAAACTGACATGCGATAATAATTGATCTAAAATATTTTTTTCGAAAATTTTACTTAATACCGGTAATATTGATATAGGTCTGTAATTACCGGGATCATCTCTTATGCCGTTTTTGAAGAGAGGGATAACTTTACTATATTTCATAAGGTCTGGAAAATCACCTTGATCAATACACTTATTGAATATATCTGCAAGATAAGGAGCGATAACTGTTATTATACTTTTAGTAATTTTAATAGACATTCCAAACAAATCACACGTATTTTTCTTTTTAAGTGAGTTAAAGCATTTTATAATATCCATAAAATCAACATGTTTAAACGTAAACAGGTTATTACACCGAGGCACACACGTCTCTAGCAAACTCTTAGCACCCGCTGGCGTCGAATTCAAATTAGAAGTAGTAATTAATGGTATATTAACGAAATATTCATTAAAAGTATTGGCAATCTGTTCTTTTGTTTTAATTTGAATATTATCTACTTTAAGTGCGATCCCATCATCGAGGGTTCTTTCTTTACCAGTTTCTCTATTAATAACATTCCATGTCGTTTTAATTTTATTATTAGATTTTATGATTTTATTTTTTATGTAATTGGATTTGGCTGTTGCACATACACTTTTGAATGTTTTTGAGTACCTTTTAACATAATCAATGAAACCCTGAGAGTGATTGTACTTCCTTAAGTAGTACAAATCATAAAGTTTATTTCTGCTCTTATAAATACCAGACGTAGCCCAGTCACAGAAGTTCAACTTTTGAGTTAATTTCAAAGTTTTAAGCGGAAAAGCCTTATCGAATTCTTTCTTAACCAAAGTGAACATATTGCCGTAAAGAATATTAGGATCCTCATGTGTCCATGGCATTTGAAACATTTTATCATCAATATTGTTTTGAAAAATTTCTAAACGTTTATTTGTTACTGGTCTTAATTAAATGAATTTGGGCTTAGTAGTGTCATTTGTATTATATGTTATTTTTAAGCCGTAATGATCTGATGTGATACAATTAATAATTGATTTACTAACTGGATTATAATCAGTAAATATATTATCCAAACAAGTAGCTGAATGAGATGTTACTCTAGTAGGCTCAAAAAATTGATGTACCAAATTAAAACATTTGAATAGTGATGTTAGGCGAATTGACATTGAATTATTTTCAAGAATGTTAATATTGAAGTCACCAACTACAATCAAAAACTTATTTTTAGACTTTAACTTTTTAAGAACATTCTCCATCACTGATTCAAAAACACTAATGTTGCCTAGAGGGGGTAAAACATAGACAAAGGTACTCACATAGTGTATGTGGATTGCTGCCCAGTAGAGACTCGGCTACTATGCGTATGTTACGGTCCGTCATGACGATGGAATGTTTAACTGAAAATAAAAAAATGGTATTTATTTATTTTTTATTTTTATTTATTTCTGCTCGATGTTTAAGACTTAAGAAAATGTTATTAGAAAAAAAATGTAGTAATATTTTCATTTCTAGAAATAAAATATCAAATTTTAACATAGAGTTATGATACGAAATAATATTAATTATCTTGTAATTGTTTCTCCATGCACATAACCTTTCCATACAATTTGTTTTATTGGGTCCCTATCACATACATTATGGTTCTGATACAGTACAATGTTTTTTTTTCAATTTATATTTATTTATTTATACTTTATTACACAAATGTGTGTAATAAAGTATAAATAGTGTGGCGGACTTAATGCCATTAGACATTCTCTACCAGTCAACCGGAGAATTTTGGCAAAAATCTTAAGGTTGTGCAAAAAGAATTCATCAAAGGACTATGGGCAAAAATGTATGGGCTCCGTCCCCACCCACCAACAAACATGGAACTGATACCAATGTGTTTCTAAAGTGCTCCCTATTTGATTAAAATAATTTATTTTAGATAAATCACTGGGAATATATAAAAAAATCAATTTGTAATTATTAATTAACGTATATTTTTATTTCACATTTGTAAGTTATTTTTCTATTGTGGTTATATTACAGTACAAAATATGATTGAGTTATTAAACAAAATATACAAAACGTATTTGAAATGTTAGTTATCTATTATATGTATAGTATATGTATATAATTGATATAAATGATTTATATTCATTTAACACTCATACAATAAAAATAGTGCATGCTATTGCACACTATTATCGTGCCTTTTTTACTCACTTATGTTTATTATTCTAGCTGTGTACCCATCACCAACCCGCCTGCCCAACGTGGTGATTACGGGCAATATCTTTAATGCACACAGACTACAAACCACGGCCCCCAGTTTCCGGCAGCCCCGTTATTCCTGGTCACGGTGGCGACCATGGTAACGGCGGGGCGGGGTGTGCCAAGAATCTCCGGGCTACGGGAGGCCACCACAATAGACTGGCCCTGGCGACGTACAACGCACGCACGCTACGGCTTGACTCGCATCTGGCGCAACTCGAGGTGGAACTTGGGAATATTAGGTGGCACGTGTTAGAGTTAGTGAAGTCCGAAGAGGACGAAGGCGACGAGGAAGAAGAGGAGACACCATAACCCTCGAATCGGGCCACCTAATGTACTTCCGCGGGGGAGACCAACAGTCCCAAGGTGGCGTTGGGTTTTTGGTAAATAAATCCCTTGCCGATAACGTTGTAGAAATGTATATAATGGATATAATATCACCAAACCAGTCATGTCGAACAGGGTAGTGTACCTTATTATAAAGCTCACCGAGAGGTATAGTAGCCTCAAGGTGGTGCAAGTGTACGCACCGACATCGACACACTCGGACGACGAAGTGTAGGATATATTCGATGATATATCGAGGGCCCTCCACTCCACTACTAGGACCTACTACAACGTTGTTATGTTATAAGTAGGATTCCATTGATTTGGAAGCAGAAATCATAGGGGGCAAATGCTCGTCAACTTCCTCAAACAGAAAGGGCTCTTCTTGATGAACTCTTTCTTCAAGAAACAGCCCCAAAGGAAGTGGACGTGGCAAAGCCCCGATACTATGACTAAAAATGAGATCGATTTCATCATGACGCACAAGAGGTTCATATTCAGAGAGACGTCTCCGTGATCAACAGGTTCAATACCGGTAGTGATCACTGACTCGTCCGGGGCTCTCTGATTATCAACTTTAAGGCCGAGCGCGTCCGTTTGATGAAATCCAGGCTCCAACCTACTCTGCTCTAATCTATAACATGATCTGAAACGTTCCAGTTAAATCTGGAGAACTGATATGCTGCCGTGGAAACCACATCAGACGTAAACTAAAACCTCGAAAATGTGGTTCGGATCCTCAGGGAAGAGGGTACGAGATTATGTGCAAAGCAGCATAAGGGTAGGAAGTAAAAGCTTTCGGAAGAGACTTAAAGTAAACACCGAAAACACAAAAAGAAATAACACGTTAACGTACAATGCAGCGAACTGACTGTGACTAAGGTTAGGACGCCTGCGCAGGAGCATGGGGCGGGGAGCGGCGGGATGGGGTTATTTTTTAACCTGTTATCTTTATGATCATGCGCAGCCCGCCGCTGTACACTAATGAAAAGAAAAAAGAGTAGGTATTTTGGAATTAGTCGTCAATAATACGTCAATGAGATATTTATTTAAACGTAAGATACCATGAGAACCCCATGCATTTGGGCAACGTCGCCATAGTAAAAAACTATCATCTTGCCAAGATCTATCAATTGAGGTACATTTCATTTGTGTTGATGGGTGGGGACGATTCCGCCCATAGTCCTTACTTATTATATTTTTATATCTATGGAAACAAGATAACATATATATACTACATAAAATACATATCTATAAACATACATAAATAATAATATATATACAAATAACAAGAAATATTTAGATATATACATACAAATCTATATCATATCAGGAGGATGCGGAGGAGGAATCTAATAAATGATGATGTACGGAGCTTTTAAAAGCCAGTTAGTTCGAAGCATCTTGAATATGAGGAGGCAGTGCGTTCCAGAGTCATATAGCTTGAAAAGAAAATGAGTTGGAAACAAAACCAGTATGGTGAGAGGGAAAAGCTAGAGTTTGTATGCTGCTAGATCGAAGATTCAGATTATGGATACTGCCAAGATATCGAAATTTACATTTCAAATATCCAGGAGCACATGGATCATTAATATTGAACATAGGGTATATATATCTACGAGTATATCTTAATTCAATATAGGGTATATATATATCTACGAGTATATCCTAAATCAATATAGGGTATATATATATCTACGAGTATATCTTAATTCAATATTCGCCACAGATTGAGAAAGTATTTTTGATAATCTATGCTTATTAATAAAAAACAAACATGCATACTTTACTCAATTATCTTTTAGAATTCAATTTCAGTTAAACATTTTTAAATATCATTTCAGTGATACTACGAGGAAAATGCTTTATTTATCATCCTAATGATATGAATGCACAATAAGTTTCACTAATTATCAGTAATGTGTTTATAATAGAAATATTTTAAAGTACCTATTATAAGTAAGTATTCACTAGTAATATGATAAGCCCTTATTATAGTATTCAAACAAAAATTATCAAAACATATGTTGCAAATCATAAAATAAGCTAAGTACTTTTTGGGTTCATGTGTTGACACTTCATTCACACTTTGGTTAGGTTATGTTAGTGTTTGTGCCGCCAATCGGGTGCAGGAATATTGTCTGGTTTTTATTAGGCCTATTCAGGGCATAAGGTAGGGCAGGGACATGATATGAGCAGAGAGGAGTCCCAGATTTCTTTATCCGGTTCCCCCAGTGATTAAAGGATGGGTAAATTAGTATTGTGATCATAATGTGCGAGCCAAACGAGCGTAGGGAGTGCTGTGCTGCTACAAAGGCCGGTGCAGCACCAGAAGAATATTTTGTTAATCGTAGGCCCAAAAATTACAGCTTCACCGAAACATATTGTGGACCACATACAAAATATTTTTATCTTTATCAACTTTTTTTCTTACAAGTATTTGAGAGTCTCATAGAAGTTACAGCCTTTTACAAGACCATGTAAACGTTGGTCATTACTAAAAGTTGTAGCCATAAACTTGTAACATAAACGTTGTAGCTATTAAAATAATTTAATACTTTATTTCCTCAAATGTCAACCCCAACTAACAAATCTAAATAAATGAGGAGCTTGATGGCGCAGGTGGCTAGCGCGTTCGGCTGCGATCGTTGAAGTTAAACAACTTTTGCAGTGGTCGGTCATTGGATGGGTGACCAAAAATCTTCTATCTCGAGTTCCCGCCTACTTCAGAAGGCACATTAAGCCGTTGGTCCTGGCTGCATCTGCAGTTGTTAGCTCCCACCAATCCGTACTGGGCCCGCGTGGTGGGTCATAGCCCAATCTCCCTATTTCATCCATAGGGAAGGTCTGTGCCCCAGCAGCGGGGACGTTAATAGGTTGGTGATGATGATGAACTAACAAATCCAAAGGACATTACAACCTACTCTTCTTTATTGAGTTTTAGTTTAATTTAATCTAATTATATATTACCACCAACTGTGAAAAAGTGTAACAGTGTAAGTGTAACTATTCAAAAGAGTGTTATTAAACATGGAATTTGAATAAAGAATGTTTAATTCTATCTGCCACACTCTCAAGGCATTATAGCAGAGATTGTTATAATTTATATAATGTCATGTAAGGTTTATAGGTTTGAAGATAACAGAAAGAGAATATAAAATATAGTATTGCATGAGTCATGCTCAATTATTTCAAATAAATAGGATGATCACATATAAATTAAAACATTGCTACATGTCAGTTTTTTCAACATAAGGGGACTCCTTTGCATTTTTTCTGTGTAATGTACATTGTAATGTAATGTAGATTTAGTTATTTTAGAATGTGAAATGTATTGTTTAAGCCAATGGCTTCGTAAGTATAATGTAAATTACATATTTAAATAGTTTCGTCTAGTTTTATATCAAAAAAAGCATTCCATGTCATGTTAGGGAAGCACTGATATTGTATTTATTCTTTTAAACTATCATAGGTCTCAAATTATTTATTTTGTAATAAAATTTATTCAAGGTTTGACCTTCTAAGTATCTATTAATGTGGTACAAGAGTAGTTATTGGAAGTTTTAATTCCTGTTATCATGTATGGAAACTTTGTTAATTCTACCAAACTACGGAAATGAACAAAGAAGCCAAACTCACCTCGCTAAATAGAAATAAACAGAACATTAGTACACTTATCAGCAATAAAACTAGCGTCTGTACTTAACACTGCACATTTTGATTTAACAAATTTACAGTCAGTGATTGTTAACGAACAATGCAACACACAACAATGCTATCTTGAACCTTAGCAATAAAGTTTTTTACAAATTAAAATGAACGAAAACAATTCTGACGATAACATACCTACTGGCGAACTGTTAAATTTTGACGTTTGACGTTTCGACTTTCGATTGTGACGTTCCGTTGCAAGCATTGTTATCGATCACTTTACATGTTTTTTTTTAAAAAAGAATTAGATGAATCGTCCCCGTCGTTGTCGTTCCGGTACTCGCGTCGGTGAGTTGGGATCACATCGCTGGTTTGCGAGAATAGCGACGGAACTAAAAATTATTGATTTTAGAGAATAGCATTTTTTAATTTCCTTGTAAATATTTTAGTGCATACCGCAAAATGTTTATGATTTATTGAGAGATCGACTTTACTGATTGAAGGAAAATTTATCGTAGTATCAAAAAACATAAAAACATTTTAGAACTTTTATTAAAATTATTTAAAAAATCGTCATACAAAGGGGGGTTTCAGACATCAGTCTTTATTCATGAGACTCCAAATTATAAAAATCAACTTATGTCATTTATTAAGCTTTAAAGCCTCTTTAAAATACAAGTTAAAACTTACAACAGTGTTTAAAACTTTTGTACTTATAATATAGTATAACAAATTAAAATAGTTTTATAACATACAATAGTAACTTTATATTTAGGTATTAAAAACATTGTTTTTCAAAAAAAATGAAATCAAAATAAACTTGAATTCTTCAAAATAAGTAATGAAAAAAGTCAAAAAATAGGAACAGTAATTCTTAAAAGGAAATATAGGTAAGTAAAATAAATCATTTATTTTACAACCCCTCATAAAATTGACGATAATAGTTTGGAATTATATTTTTGTTAACTAAATCTATCAGTCCTCGCTTCTTATTTTCTGAGATTCCGTTGCTTTTTTTATAAGCAGGTTGCAATTTGTAATTTTCGTCCAAAGATTTTGATGCACGGTTAGTAACTTTCACGCATTTAAATTCATTTTCACTGTAAAATGTTTTATAGAAAAAGAACCCTTTGTGGTCAGCATCTACTTTTAAAACCTTTATATCTGTCATTTTCACACCCTCATTATCAGTATTTTTATTAAAATTTCTACCCACGTCAGAAGCTAGTGACTTTAATTCGTAAAAACTTTTATGATCCATTTCGATGACTTTGTAAGGAGATCCTTTCTTTTTTGCAGTGCGAATAATTGAAATGTACTGATCCGGTGTATAGATTGGGCCCGATTTCAAAGTCTTTTTGATGCTTCTTTCAATGACAGAATGCACACTGTCACCTTCATTTTGAGTGTGCCCTTTGATTAGAAATTTATGTGTGATACTATTTATATGAGCAAAAGTAGAAACAGCGTACATGTACATACTAATAATAAATTTATTCTTTTGCTGTCCGCAGCAGTTATCAGAATAAAAAATAATATCTAGTTTGGCTTCAGTTGTTACATCTCTGCCAAGACTTTTTAAATATTCTAAAAGACAGGTCCCTATTTCTATAGCTCCTCTATTTGCTTCTCCTTCATGCCACACGTAGCAGATCGCATTTTTATTTTTCATCTCATAGATCGTAAAGTTTAAGGTATTCACTTTAGAAACATAGTAAAAATTAGACACATCCCCCCTAGGACATGGCATCACAGCCTGTAAGTCATAAACTGCTACAATAGTTGATTCTTTATCTTCTGCTTCTTGCTTGTCCTTAACCTTCTCTATTCTTGAAAGCTCTTTTTCTTTTAGATGGTTCTCATATTTAGACTTTAGTCGATTTTTATCTTCTCCAGTTGCGTTTTTGTAGGCAACACAATCTTCGCACTGATCCTTCTTCACACTGTTTCACATAATCTCTATAAATTTCTGCAATAGACTTACTTCCATCAATATATTTTTTCCGCGTATCTGCTCGACAGTAATGGCTTTCTATTTTTGGTATCGCCTCAATGAAATTTCTCAAACTATCTTTAATCTTATTATCTACACGACTGTGATTGCTATGTTTTCCTCGCAGATCCTCTACAATAATGCCTGAAACGTCACTTCTTGATTTTTCGGTAACTGTTCGAATAAATCTATCAGATACATCCAGCGTAGACATAAAAAAACTCTTACAAACTCGAATTTTTTCGCCATCTTTATCTTTCAAATAAAATGCGTTATTATTTCGACGTGTTCCTTTTTTATATTGATACGTCGGGACAATAGAGGACATATTGAATGCTACAAAAGTTCTTTTACTTTGCAAATCAGGTAATTTATAATATGCGTCAAAAATATGGCGTCGAGTCTCATCATTAAACTTTGTGTTACACTTTAACTTACATTTTTCTGTACATCCTGGTCCTATTCGTCTCTCTCGTATAACTTTATTATTTTTACCTACATATTCTTTCCCTGCATTTTGTAGGCGTTTTGCTACATTCGTTTTCCAAAGTTCTGGCTTCATTTTCCTCTTACGTGTAATATTTTGGTTTGATTCACGTGAAATATTTTCTTTTTCATTCTGTTCTACTGTTTCATCCGAATCTGACGATAAATCATTATTTTCAATGTGATAATTAGGATCTGCGATACTATCATCAGATGAAAAATCTCTTTCTTCCTTTCCTTCTTCACTTTGAGCATTCATATTGGTCAATTCAATACCTTTTGGTTCACTTTCTATTTGTAAATTACTTTCTACTGCAGTCTCATCTTTCATATTATTATTTACTGATTCTATACTTACCATATTTCCTTTGGTTTTATTTTCTAGGCTATGGCCGTGGAGTTCTTTTTCATTTAAACTTATCATGTTATTGGATTCTTTATTACATTCTTTTATTGCTCTATTGCTGGAAGAAGACGAGCTAGAAGACGAGGAAGATGAGCTGGAAGTCGAGGAAGATGAGCTAGAAGATGAGGATGACGATGTGGATGGTGATCTTTGTCGCAAAATCAATTTATTTTCTTCTGAATTATTACCTGAAATTCAATAAACATTTATTTATTTACAGAATAAATACCAAAACCAACAGTTATCGTTATTGCATGCATTTCACAAGTTTTTCCAGAGGAACATCATTATGTAATAGAAACACTCGCATCTTGTAATTCCCGGGAATCGAACCCAGGAGGTTACGATCAGCCACTAGCGTAAGTGTAAACTATTTGCAACAGGACAAACTACACATCGAAATAAAAATAATATCGAAAAAAATCTTACGACTTTGAATTTAAATATTTTATTTTGCTTACCTGATGTGTTATTATAATTTATATCATTTTCGACATTTTCATCGCAACTTCTTTCATTTAACGGCAAACTGCTTTTATGTTTATCGGTACCTAAAATATTTTGAATAGTTAAATAGTTGAAAGAATTAATAAAATTGAGACAAACTGCAAATATATGAAAATTGTAGACTGACTTTCTTGTTCACTATTAGTTAAATCTTGTTGATCCTCATTTTCTTTATTTTTACTGGCCGCTTCTTTCAACTTTCCCAAGAATAACATTCTTTCTGCCATCTTGAATAACTCTAATAAAGATAATTATCTGAAACAAATAATTTAACGAAAATAATTAATTATCAATGAATACCATGAAAAAAATTAACTCAATATTTCTATCCCAAAATTCCTTGAACATAGACGCATTTTGTAATAAGAAGCAAAACCGTGCCCATTTTTTTCAAAAATAACGACGTTTCTTATATACGACAAAATAAAATCTGTTTATTTTTCGTGAATCTAGACGCAAGTTACATAAAGTCGGTATAAAATACAATATCATAAACAATCACACATATTTATTCAAGAATACAGGCGTAAATAGAAATAAGATATGAAAATATACTTACTTTTATCAGAAACAACGACGGATAACTAAATATGTCACTATTCTTGAAAAAAAAATAACAATTGTTGCAACCGAACTGTAAATACGTCGGTATTTTCGAGAATCGACCGTGCGTTCACTCTGTTGTCATAGGCTCAACTGAGATGAGCCTTTATTTGTGATCACGCTTTGAGTGTTTTGTCTCAAATGAATAATGACGCCTTCTCTTTCTAACGAACGCTGGCGCGAAATTGGCGTTGCTTCTCTGTTCACGATAAAATATCAAAGATTTATGATTGTTTGGCATACATAATTCAATTTGACAGTATTTTGAATTACGTCGATATTCTCGCAAACCAGCGACATGGTCTCTCATGCCAAATGAGTGCTGGCCGAGTCTTCCGCCACGCCTGCATTAATGACGTCATCCTCAGAGCTCTTGTCGCAGTCAACGTGCCATTGGTCCTTGAGACTAGCGGCTTCTTTCGTGACGATGGCAAGAGGCCTGACGGGATGACGCTCAATCCTAGGAAGCAGGGTCACCCTGTGGTATGGGACACAACTTGCGCGGATACGCTTGCTCCGTGCCATACAGGTAGCACCTCCCTTTCTGCGGGCGCGGTAGCAGTCTCTGCTGACTACTCCAAGCGGCGCAAATATTCAGCTCTCAATGAGAACTATATATTTATGCCGTTTGGTCAGTAGCGGGTAGCGGAGCAAGACCTAAATTTAAAGTGGGCAAGACAGATTTCGCGAGGCCCTGTTCTGTGGTGACCTGAAGACGGATTTTATAAAATAGGTAATAAAAAAAAGAAAACAATTAACACTGCCAAGTTTTTATTCATAAAAATACAGATTAGATTAATATTAGTGAAAAATTACAAATCGTAAATATATAGGTGGAGGTGACAATACTAATAAATTAAATATCGGCTTTCAAAGGATGCTTCCAGTCCAAAAAACAATCAATTCAACTCCATTTGTTAAAAATTAAGGCTCCATAGTACTGACGATGATTCTGCCAGTGGCATTTTTGCAGTCAGGACATAATTTAACATTAAACATTTTCTTCATGCTGTATAAGGTACAACCATAAGGGTCAATGATCTATACATTATATGCGTTTTCTTACATATTTTAAATTATTGACAGTTTCTGATTTCTTGATTCAGTGATTATTTTTAAAGGGATATAGCGTAATTGCGCCAAAAAATAATGTTTGCCACTTAAAACCCAGTTGTTGCTTAATTATGGCTGAATTTGTTTGAAAAAAAAAAATGTATTTTTGTTTCTTACTACATTTTTTAGCTTTAAAGAACTTATATTGTTTTAAACTTACATGGTCACTAACATTATAGCAATATATTCACTCACATTATAGCAATCAAAAACAACGATACGCAGAAATCAGCCATCGCGGAACATTTGATTGATTCTGGTCCTAACCACTGGATTGAGTTTCATAACCCACAGATTATCTCGACAGAACGCCACTACATACCAAGATTGGTCAAGGAAGCGATTGAAATAACAAAACATAAAAATTTCAATCGTGAGGACGGGTTTAAAATGTCGAGTGTCTGGAATCCTGTGGTTTGCATGTGTAAAACCGGAAATAATCTAAAAAGTGTCGCGTCGCGATCCGATACTGTAAGTGTTGTGTCGAGAACAGTTTTGAGTGAGGAGTGAAAATGTGAATAGTGGTACGGGTATCGAACGCAATAAAAGACTTCGTCGGAGGGTAGACCGATATGTCTGCCAATAACAGCCTACCCGCAATTACTTCAGTTACACCGTGATCATGGCGCTTGCAACAGTGCCGAAATATCGGAAACTCGCTAAAACAAGGTACATGGTAACAATCCCGTAAATAACTTATATTACTATTAAAGAACTTATATTTAATAGTGCACTTAATGTTTGCATTTAATGTCGTATTGCCATCTCCACTTTGTATACAATTCTTAGTGGACCCAATTCTGGCGTGATTCTCTAAACTTAAAACTAAAATTAACATCAGTCTCTCCTTTTCATACTGTGTAGAGAATGACAGGGATGCACAGTTGTCAAATTTAAGTTTAGGTTTAGAGAATCATGCTAGAATCGACACCAGTGTATATTTAAAAATATTTATATTTCTTTAATAAAGGAACAGAAATTTCCTGCTTTTAACTTTACTAAATTCCTTAATTATTGTATCGTAATAAAGCCTAGACGCCATATCTAATTCAATTGATAAAACAGCCAAAGCTGAAAGTCTTTCCTGGCTCATTGTGTTTCTCAAATATTTTTTTAATAATTTTAATTTTGAAAAACTCCTTTCGGCATTGGATGTACTGTACTTAACGGAATTGTCAATAAAATTCGGATGGCAATGTAAATATTTGGGTAAATTTCTTTCAAGCTATTGTCTGTTATATATAACAGCAGCTGTTTCACATCTATAATGAAGTTGGATAAATTTGGGATCATTGTATTTAATTCTACATATAATTCAAATGGTTGGAAGTGACTGCTCTCACCCACACACAGGACGTTATGTAAATCGTTAACTACACTGTTTTAATATTTGCTCCTCTGGCATATTTTTTAGCTTGCTTATATCATAGAGAAAATGTTGATTTAAAGACGTATATCTTAATTCCATATTGGTTACTATAGAATCAATCATGGCGCAAAAAAAAACAATTTGATATCGGATTTTAGGAGACTGTATAGGCTTTTCTTTTTGGCTACTTTTTTATTCCTAAACTCTTTTGGCAGGTCATAACACGCCTCCGATTCCTCCCACACAGGCCACAAACACCAATACTACACAGCTAGCAAACGTGCACACTAGCTTAGCATTAGGCAGATACCGCACCCGTAGGATAAGAGTGCGAAGACCCGGTCTACACACGACACGCTATACTAGGTACAGGTACGTACCTGGGCGTTTTTCGTAAATTTCCGAATATCAAACAGGGATTTTTCGAATCCAGTTTCCCGATACTCTTTTATCCATTCACAAAATGTGTGTAAATGTTCAAGAGCAATGCTTAAATGAATTTGTACTGATTGCCATAATTTACTTATCATATTAACACGCGATAATGATGTCGATTCTGACATGATTCTCTAAAGCTAAACTTAATTTTGACAACAGTGCATCCTTGTCATTCTCAATACAAAATGAAAAGGAGAGACTGATGTTAAATTTAGTTTTAAGTTTAGAGCAGCTATACTCTAAGTGTGTTCCGCGGAACCCTAGGGTTCCGTGATACCTCTGTCGGGGTTCCGCAAGAATTTAGAAATAAAAAAATCAAAACACCTCTCTCTGGTCGCTCCGCGGCTGTGCGGACTCCGCGGCCGCGCGGAGACAAAACGCTATGAATGTTATTTATTTATTTATTTGTATTTGTATAAGCTTGTGTTACATTAGCTGGTACAATATCTCATAAGTTTGGTCTCAACAATTTTATACTTGTACAACGCGTTCGCTCTAAGTTTGCCGGTCTGTGGAATGCGCGTACCCTCCCCCACGTGACAACAAAACTTATAATGTGTCATAGTTTTACCCAAATATCTAACGTACACAATTTTTATTGTTACAATTAAATAAAAAATTTCGAACGTCATACACTCATACCTATCGCCAGCGGCAAACTTAAAACGAGCGGGTAGTATACTTGTAAGCGCTCAGTCTCTTTGATAAAAGCCGCCTCTGAATTAGACGCTATAGTTGTCAACTAGCGACTTTCGTCTCTAACTTCAAAGGATAAAGTCGATATTGTTTACAACGCTATTTTTAAATTTCTGTTTTTATTTTTGCTTTTTGTTTATCAAAGGTGCCGACTCGAGTATTTTCGAGAATATTTGAGATCGAGTCTAGGACTAAGTATAAAAGCGGCGATCGCGCGTTGGCGTCGTCAGTTGATGATTAGCGTTCGGAGCGATAAGTTACTACCTACTTACAAGCTCGCTAGCGAGAAACTGGTGTTCATTGTTTTACTGCCTGCTGTATTCTGTTGTCTCAGTTTTATACATTTCTTCCCTGTAGGTTCTAAATTTAGTCTCTTATACGCAGTAACGATTGTGCATTATTTAAACCCCACTATCCTGACTTGTAACATTATAAATAAAGAAGAATGGAACGTTGGCTTAAAGGTGTTAAACGTGTTCCAACAACATCTTCTAATGACGCTGAATGTTCAAAAGCAATGCGCGCGGAGAATTTAGCAATCACCGATCCAGAAGATGATGCCACGAGTGCCACGACGTCAAGCTCGACGGTTTCAAAGACGAAAAAAAGGAAGTATGATGAATCTTATATCAGTTTCGGATTTGTTGATTCCAACGGCTCACCTCTCTGCATGCTCTGTAGTAAACTGCTTCCTAATAGTTCCATGGCACCTGCCAAATTGCGTCGACATTTAGAAACCGTACACCCCGAGACTAAAGACAAGAATAAAGAATTTTTTGTTCGCAAAAAAGATCAGTTATTAGAAAGTCAAAAAAATATGATGCATGTAACACAAACTACCAACGAAAAGGCCACGGAGGCATCATACTTAGTTAGCTATCGCATTGCACAAGCAGGTGAAGCGCACACTATCGCTGAGAAATTAATAAAACCATGTGTATTAGACATAACAAAATGTATGCTTGATGAAAAATCTGCAAAGCATCTTTCTACTGTTCCGCTATCAAACGATACTGTTTCACGACGAATCCATGATCTGGCAAGCTACGTCAAACAAGAACTAGTTACACGTCTACAAAATACACGATTCGCTTTGCAAATGGACGAGTCGACTGATGTCGCTGGTTTGGCTATCCTGCTGGTTATTGTGAGATATCCATATAAAAGTTCTTTTGAAGAAGACATGCTTATGTGTTCATCGCTGCTTACAAACACTACCGGGGAAGAAATTTTTAATAAAATAAATATATTTTTTGAAGAACATAATCTCAGTTGGAACAATTGCATTGACATTTGTACAGATGGGGCCAAGGCGATGACAGGTAAAACAGCAGGAGCAGTGTCACGAATGAAAAATAAAGCGCCTAATTGTAGTTCCAGTCATTGTATTCTGCATAGACAAGCACTTGCGATGAAGCAAATGCCGTCTAATCTAAAATTAGTTATGGATGAAGCGGTAAAAATAATTAATTTTATCAAATCACGACCACTACAATCCCGATTGTTCTCATTATTGTGTGAAGATTATGGCAGCAAACATAAAACACTGCTGCTCCATACAGAAGTGCGATGGCTGTCTCGGGGAAAAACTTTAACAAGGCTATTTGAACTTAGAGCCGAGTTACAAATGTTTCTTTCAGCAGATACTTCTTTTAATTTGAAGGACCGTTTGTATGATAAAACTTGGTTGTTCCGATTGTCTTTTATGGCGGATATCTTTCAAAAACTTAACGAATTAAATTTATCATTGCAAGGTAAACAGACAACAGTGTTTCAGGCCTATAATAAAATAACTACTTTTAAAAGAAAATTAGATTTTTGGATCATTTGCATTGGTAAGAAAGAAATAGAAAGTTTTACGTTACTCACTGAGTTTGTTAGCGAAAACGACTCAGAAATGTTTGAAGATAATGTGTTTGAAGAATTGGTCCAATATCTCAGTTCGATGCGCGCATCTTTTGAAAAGTATTTTCCCGAAGAACACAATACAAAAATTAAAGTGAACTCCTGGATTCATAATCCTTTTTTACCCAACTTGGAAAAGCCTGAAAACATGTCAAATGAGATATATGAATCTCTTTTAGAAATGTCATCAGACACAAGTATGGAGTCATTGTTCAAAACGACGCCTCTTAATGATTTTTGGTGCAGAATCCAAGATGAATATGCAATGCTTGGCCAAATGGCTCTGGATATTCTTCTCCCGTTCCCAACTACATATTTGTGCGAAACAGGATTCTCTACCTACGCAGCCACGAAAACAAAATATCGCAATAGACTGGACGCCGAAGCTGATATGAGACTCCAACTTTCTTCCATCAAACCTGATATCAAGCAATTGATGAAAAATAAAAAACAGTTTCATACCTCCCACTAGTTAGATTTTTTCTTTTTTAATGTTTTCTATTATTGTCCTTACCAAGTGGTGAAGTAAATAATAATTAGTAACGGATACATTGTACTTTTATTATGCTGATTAATATAGAATACACTTATAAAAATAATTGTTTTATTGTAGGGTTCCATCAAGTATTTTGCTTCCCAAAAGGGTTCCGTCATTTAAAAAGTTTGAGAACCACTGGTTTAGAGAATCACGCTAGAATCGACACCAATGTCTCATACCACAGATGTAAAGATACGATAAATTCTAAACTTAACATTTCATTTAGTATCGAATCGCAATCACTGAGAGTGTCTGATTGCTCCGTTTGATTTTTTAAGTTTTCGATGAATTCAATCACTTCATCGAATTGCAATAATACGGCTTTTACTGCTTCGACTCTACTTTCCCATCTTGTGTCTGATAAAGGTTTCATAGTAAGATTAAGTTGCCTTTTATTAAATCCCAGCGTTTGCTTGAACTTGAAAATAACAACATTTATTTTTTGTATGAAATCAAAACAGTTTTTGCTGCCATAGATGAGCTCGCTGCATCTACCAACAGTAGATTCCAACTATGACAGCCACAAGGTGTGAAAAATGCCCTAGGGTTAATATTCAATATTCGAGTTTTAACTCCACTATTTACACCAACCATATTTGCACCATTGTCGTATACAGTCTTGAAAATTTAAGTCGTATTTTTCTAGGTGTTCCAATATAGCATTGGCTAAATATTCTCCAGTTGTCTTAGTAACAGCTGGAAATCCCATAAAATGTTCGACAATTGTGCCAGTTGAAGTATCACAAAATTTTAAGATAACCGACATTTGTTCAATTCTACTACCGTCTCTAGTGCAATCGAGCAAAAAAGACTAATAGTTACTTTGCTTCTTTAACCTTACGAATAATTTCATCGACAACTGTTTTTGACATCAATATGATCAATTCATTTTGAATATCGTGACTTAAATAATGGTGTGAAAGTTGTTTGTCACTAATGCGTTTCATGTGTTCTCGTAAAGTAGGATCAAAATTTGATATCAGTTTAAATAAATCTATGAAATTACCGGAATTCCTAATAACGTCACTTGTCTTGAGAAATTCTCTGTGACCTCTTACTGCAAGATTATGAGAGGCCAAAAAAATTATTATGTCAATTATTCTCTCTAAAAAGTTGCCTATGTTTTTGAGATTCACGTATTAGCCTTTCGTTTTCTTGGTCTATTGTTTTGCCTTGATTTATTCCTTTCTTTAAAGTTAACCATTGAAACACATGTGGCATATGTTCTTTGGTATTCTCATGTCTATGTAAAATGCTACTTAAATGTTTCCAGTCACAACAACCTCCTTGCACCACCTGAGTTTGTGAATTTCCAAATAATCTGCATGGAAAACAGTAAACTTTATTTTGGAAATTGGAATAAACTAACCAGCGACGATGTTGAGTTTCACCATTATTTAGTTTTCTCGAAAAATAGAAATTGGAAAAGTGTCTGTGATCATCACCTTTGGGATAATATTCATCACCACTATTTAATTGCTGTGTGGGACCGCTTTGAACTATGTCACGACGCTGTGAATCCGTTATGGGAAACGTCCGTAATCCCGGATCCGAATTAACAAGAACTTGCTGAACTATGGCACTGGCGTCGTCGCTGCGAATTGGAGAATCTATGTCAATCTGTTCTTCTTGATTGCTTGATGACAGCACAAGAGTTTCAGCGTCAAATTTTGATTGGCTAGAGGATGATCCAAACTCTACGTCTAACTGACGTTCGCTCTCGGAGCTCAGTGCATCTGGAGCATTTCCTAACGATATCTCGGACGTTTGTTGTGTAGAAGTCGAATCTATCGATTCAGATGGTTCTGTACTACCAGATGCAGTTTGGTTGAGGAACTTCATCGTATTTAAACTCAAAACCTGGTTGGATGCAGTTCTATCAGCTTTTCTTTTTCTTTTTGCTGAGCCAGACTCCCATTTTCTACCAATATCTCTATCTCGGCCGGAGATGTCGATAACGTCGTATCTGTAATCTGTAAGTATTTGTATTTATGACGGTCCTAAGCCCGTAAAAGTGTGATAGAAAAATGGAACTACTTCTTAGGTTATTTTGTTTCATTCACTCAAAAGAAGTAGGTATACTACAGCAGTGCTACTACTGGTGTTAGATCAAAGAGTACTTTTTATATACGGAAATGTTAGATCATTTTCGAGTTTCGTTTGACGCTTTTGTAAATCTGTCATTTCTTAACATAAATAAAAAAAGATATTACACATCGATTGTACGTCCATGGCAAAATCATTTCGTTGCGGGGAAACAACCACTAAAATTTCACGGTGTATACAAGTAATTACTGCGTTATTTATTTATTACCAATTAATTATTTCTTACCTTATATAAAATAGACGAGTACAGGTACCGGTGTGTTACACATCACAAAGAAAACAAAAATCATTTAATAAGTCACTGTTTTTTTTAATTTTGAGTCAGTTTACAGGAGCAATCAATATACCTATACACAATATCTATTTATTCACTAAATATTATTAAAACATTGAACACAATATTCTTATCAAAATAGGTACGTACAGTCATAAAAACAAACAATAATGAATAACACAATTAAGTTTCTATCGTTATGCGCCTAGCGACTGCACTGCGAACTTTGATTTGATTGGTTGGCTTCCTAGTAAAGAAAGTAAACAAATAAAACAAGGGATTCCCCGCACTGGTCGGCGGCGGCAAGGATTAACTCGCGATAGTTACTCAAAATAAGCAAATGTTGCCAGACAAAAAAACATTTTTCACAACAAAACTAATGTATTTATATCTTTGTTTTATTTTATTCCCGCTTTTAAGCAATGCATAAAAAATATTGAGGCGCGAGGCCCCTTGTTCCGCGAGGCCGCAGGTGGTGGCCCACGTCGCCCACGCCCTACGCAGCCGTACAGTTACGTACAGTGTAAAAGTACGTTACAGTGCAGCACACTGCTTTCCACTTACCGACTGCATTATATCGGATCATGTAGGTATCTATGGGTGCATGATGTGAGATGCACAATGATAATAAAGATAAGATAATAATACTTTATTGCACAACAGTAACATAAATAACACGCATAAAATACAAATACGGGGCAAAACAATTACAGTTGCACAAAGCTGCATGTTTTCTCCTTGTCATCGAAAATAAAAGGGTAAATACACCCCTGAGTCGGTTAGTCTTGGTCCGACTTGTTGAAGTTATGATTTTATGTAAAACCTTCTTGTTAGGGCGACTCGATGGCCTGTTCTCTATGTCACCGTTACTTCATTCTAGGACTTTAGCAAATACGTCAACGGTGTATACCTATAAAGTGTAAAATGTGATTGGGACTACATAAACTAAATATTACGAGCTGATTGTCTTTCCTTTCTACGATCCACTTCCTCAACATGGTAGCAAAGGAGCGTGGTTGAATAAAATAAATAGAAAGAGGAAGATAAGTGGAAATTATTTGACAAGGTCAGTACCGAAACAATTGAAGACGTAAGGTACCGAAAATGGAAGTAAAGATAGGAGAAGTGGGCATTCAGATATTTGATGGTGCAAATTATGAAAAATGGAAATTTAGATTAAAGTTGTTGTTACAAATGAAAGAATGCCAAGAAGCTGTGGAAAATGATATGAAACATGAAGGTATGACGGACACGGAATGGAGAAAAATTGATTTAAAGGCAAGAAATATTATAGTGAATAGCGTAAATAATACTCAGCTCGATATAATAATGAATGAAACTACGGCTTACGGGATGATTAAAAAATTTGACGAGATGTATTTAGTAAAAGGCAGTGCTAATAAACTATTGATTAAAAGGAAATTACTAGAAACAAAATTCAAAGATGGCGACGATATACTAGAATTCATACAAACATTTGAAAAACAAATCAATGAATTGAAAAATGCTGGAGAAGTCGTGTCGGAAGAGGATAGACTGAACTATTTATTGCTTGCATTACCTGAGAGTTTTGCACATATTGTAAATATTGTTGATGCGATGCCGACAAAGGATTGGACAGTGGAGTACGTGAAGTCCAAATTACTACTTGAAATGAAAAGAAAACAGAGCGAACAAGAAGCTCATACGTTCAGTTCTCGATCAAATCAACACCAAGATGGGTCCAGGAATAATGATAACTGCTTTGAATGCAACCGCCCAGGACACTACAGGAGGGATTGTCCTAAGTTAGCACGTCGTGGTCATGGTCGTGGTAGAGGACGCGGATATGGAGGCGGACGACGAGGAACTCACAGAGGATATAGAGGAGGATACAACAATAGAAGCGTGAATACAGGACAAAGTAGCAGCACCAGTGATGGATTTGGATTCAACGTAGAAGTAGAAGCGATGACAGGAGCTACCGAAACGAAAGCGGATATAACATGGTTATTGGACAGCGGATGTAGCGATCACATCGTAAATGACGATAAATTCTTTCGTGATTATAAAATTTTAGAAACACCTGTGAATATTAAGGTAGGTGATGGATTTTGTCTTAAGTCGGAGAAAATGGGAAATGTAACAATGTACTGTAAAGCAGGAGGTAAGTCAAATAAAATTGATGTTTCAAATGTATATTATGTTCCAAATATGAAAAAGAACTTATTAAGCGTTTCATGCATTGTAAATAGAAATAATACAATTCAATTTAGAGGAGAAATAGCAAATATATATAATGTACATATAGGTTTAATGGCCGTCGCACGCAAGAAAAATAAATTGTACGAATTAGATGGCAGAGTTAATTTAGGTGCAGGTACAGTAGCATACACAAGTGGTAACATTATGTCAGAAAAAGAAAAATGGCATAGAATACTTGGGCACCCTAACTTTAAGAAACTAAATGAAATGTGCAGGCATAGGGTTGTAGATGGGTTACCTATCACTTTAGGCGAGGGTTACGTGCAATGTGAAGTTTGTTTGATGAACAAAATGACAAATCTACCTTTTGGAAATCAAAGACGACGGGCAACAGACTTGTTAGAGATTATCCACACGGATGTGGCAGGCCCGATTACGCCCACTGGATATAAGGGGCAACGATACTTTGTGTCATTCATAGATGACTATAGTAGGTTAGCTTATCTATGCTTAATTAATAACAAGAGTGATGTTTTTAATTGCTTTAGAGATTATGTAAATATGGTGGAAAATCAAACAGGTAAGAGAGTGAAAGAAATCAGATGTGACAATGGCGGAGAATATATTAACAACGATTTCTACACTTACACAAAGCAAAAAGGTATTTATTCAAAACCAGGGCCAGCTTATACACACGAGTTGAACGGTGTAGCTGAAAGATTTAACCGAACCATAATGGAGAGAGCGAGGTGTCTGCTTACAGAAGCAAAGATAAATAAGAAATATTGGCCTGAATGCGTTATGACTGCAGCATATCTAGGTAATAGAATATTAGCAAATACGTATGAGAAAAAAACACCGTACGAAATGTTTATGGGGAGGAAGCCAAATGTAAGTAATTTAAAAATTTTCGGATCACAGTGTTATGTACGAATTCCAGACGAATTACGCACATCAAAACTTAACCCAAAGGCTACAAAAGGTATATTAGTAGGATACACAGATACGGGATACAGAGTATTAATAAATGAAAAAATAGTCATTAGTCGTCACGTTACATTTATAGGTACGAAAGAAGAACAGATAATAAAGATAGTAAATACTGAAGATGAAACTGATGAAAACGAAGAATTTTATGATAGTGTTGATGACTCAAAGGAAAAATCAAGTAGAGCTGTGACTGAGGAGGTGACGGATATCCGACCAAAAAGAGATAGAAAAATGCCAGAGAAATATAAAGATCATGTTTTATATATAAATTTTAGTGATGCACTGGTACCAGATACGTATGATGAAGCAATAAAAAGTCCGGATGTAAATAAATGGAAAGATGCAATGAAAGAGGAATTGAACAGTTTGGAAAAGAACGAAACGTGGATTTTAGTTGAGAGACCTGAAAATAAGAAAATAATAGATGTTAAATGGATCTTTAGGATCAAGTCGAATGGAAAGTATAAGGCAAGGGTAGTCGCACGAGGTTTCCAACAGATGTATGAAGAAAACGAGGAAATTTATTCACCAGTAGCGCGAATGACGACAATGAAAGCTTTATTATCAATTGCATGTGTAAGAGGATGGAACATTGAACAAATGGACGTTGAGACAGCATTCTTGAATGGGAGTATTAAGTCTGAAGTTTATATTTACCCACCTGATGGATATTGTACAGAGAATAATAAAGTGTGCAAACTACAAAAAGCTCTTTATGGATTGCGAGAAAGCCCACGTAATTGGTATGAATGCTTTCACGAATTCATGTCAAGCATTAATTTCAATAGGTCAGACTATGACTATTGTTTGTATACAGGGTGTGTAAATAATGTAAATATATATCTATGTCTGTATGTGGATGATATTTTGATTTGCGGGGAGAAAAATGAGGCAATTGACGAAGTTAAACGGCTATTGAACAATAGATTCCGAATGAAAGATCTGGGAAAGGTGAAACAGTATCTTGGAATAGATGTAGTTTTTGAACCAAAAGAAGGCAGAATGACTTTAAGCCAGGAAAAATACATTGTAAGTTTAGCTGAAAAGTATAACGTAATCGAATCAAAGAACTTTGAGACACCAATGGAAATGAATTTAAGCATTGATCCAAGTCAAGATGTCAGTGCAACGTTAAAGTATAGAAACTTGATTGGAGCTCTTCTGTATGTTGCGAGTGGAACACGGCCAGACGTATCTTATAGCGTTAACTATTTGAGTAGTTTCCAAAATGCTTATAGTGATACTCATTTCAAATATGCCTTGCGAGTTCTCAAATATCTTTACTGTACGAGACATTTAAAGATGAATTATGACGCCGACTACGAAGAACAATTGGACGCTTATGTAGATGCTGATTGGGCCGCAGATAAATCGGATAGGAAGTCGACGACAGGAATCCTTATAAGAGTTTTTAATAATCCGATCATGTGGAAGTCACATAAACAGAAAATAGTGTCAAGAGCATCAACTCATGCCGAGTATTATGCTTTGGCAGACTGTGTTGAAGAAGTACTTCCGTTAATAGGTGTGTTATGCGATTTAGGCGTTGAGATTAGGGATCCAGTAAAAATTTACGAAGACAACAGCGGGGCTATTGCGTTGTCAAAGAACGGAAAGTTTTGTAAAAATTCTAAGCATATTGACATAAGCTACCACTTCGTATATGACTATGAGAAAAAGGGTATTATTAATATAGTAAAGGTTCATACAGAAAAACAATTAGCGGATATATTGACCAAGGCATTAGGAAAAAATAAATTTATAAAACTTAGAGAACTGGCAAATGTCAAATGAAATGTTAATGACAGATAGTCTTTTGTTAAGTGATTTATTTATTATGTTAAGTTGTTATATTGGTATTAAGTTGTTTTTGTTGTTTTCTATAAAATCAAGGAGGTGTGTTGAAGTTATGATTTTATGTAAAACCTTCTTGTTAGGGCGACTCGATGGCCTGTTCTCTATGTCACCGTTACTTCATTCTAGGACTTTAGCAAATACGTCAACGGTGTATACCTATAAAGTGTAAAATGTGATTGGGACTACATAAACTAAATATTACGAGCTGATTGTCTTTCCTTTCTACGATCCACTTCCTCAACACGACTCACCCAATGTCATAAAACTTTTATTACGTTCAAGCTTAATTAATAAAATAGTAACCTCTGTTAAATGAGTCACACGGTTAACTCGTTAGTCCATGGGCCAGGGTCAAAATCGATTGATAGACTGCTGCTGCTGCGGCTGCACGCACGAAAAAGTGTCACGTTCTGCGGTGTGTGTTTGAGGTGAACTCCCCACGCGGAGCCTAACTTGGGACTTATAGAGCTATAGAGGCGTGCTTGGGCTCAAACGAATCGGAACAAAAGCCTCATAAAACTGCCCCTAGGAAAACAGGGAATGACACGTTATTTCTTAAAATTATTGTGCGTAAACCGAGTTCAGAGACAACTATTTTTTTTAAAGCTACAAAATGGAGGGGTCCTTTCATTCAAGCAGCAAAGTGGCCCTTAATGGATATTCTAAATTCCGTATGTTTTAACTAATACATAAATAGGTATGTATGTAGGTAGGTAGGTTTGTAAAGAAAATAAAACACAAAAATATAAATTTAATTATATTAATAAATATTTGTATAATTTATTTTCTCAAATTATAGTTTAACAGAATCTTTATGAAGTACCTAACCAAGCATTTTTGTAATAAACAGTTAACATACATAAGTCACAATTTTCACAAAATACATTTGACAATTAATTGATAATACTTAAAAAATATTTAGTAAACTTAGGATGAATAGTGTAAGAAAAATGGGGACTTTCAAAAAATTTTCTTATATGAAAGAAACACTGTTTTCTCTGATTTCTCGTATTCTGTATTATGTGTAATAAGGGTACGGCCAGAGTGCACTCAGATTCAGATTCAGACTCAGAAAGTTAAAGCAGGGTGGCCATAGTGGCAGCAGGCAACCTGCTTAAACTACACTGTATATTTCTCGCGCTTGTTTTCTGAGTCTGAAGGGGCAGGAGCGCCACAGTTATATGTCGTAGCACGAAACTGTAGCGCTGACCGTTATTGCGCAAAAGGAAAAATTAGATGTGTTGAGGGGGAACAGAGGTGAGTGCTGCCAATTTAGCATATTTTTAAGTGATTTAGCATGAAAAAAATCGTTTAGCTTGAAGCATATGTTTTAGTATATTGTCTTATTAACTTAAAAATGAAGAAAACAAATGCTAAGTTATTAAATTACCCTCGTTTCAATTTTTACCGCGAGCGCTCCCAAATCGGCGCACTGTTTTATCAACTTTTGTTTGTTCAGCCATCTAGCGATAAAAAAAATGTCACACTTGTTGCTACTTCACTGTCGTTCAAAAACTATTTTAACTATGCGAGGGGAATCCCCGAATTAAAAAACAGATGTATGAATGAATGAATTGTTATTTTATGATTAAGCCAACTAACTAACATGATGATCGATCATTGGTGTCGATTCTGGCGTGATTCTCTAAACTTAAAATTAAATTTAACGTCAGTCCCTCCTTTTCATTCTGTATAGAGAATGACGGGGATGCACTGTTGTCAAATTTAAGTTTAGCTTTAGAGAATCATGCCAGAATCGACATCTACGATTATCATGTTACTTAGTTGGCTGGCTGGCAAACCAACAATACATTTACACGTGTAGTAGTGGTAATTAAGTATTGTTACTGTTTCTAATATTATTTTAAGAATGACTGCGAAATATACCCAGCATAAATGTTCGGAGCGGGAATTAAGGACAGAATTTAAAGAATGGCTGTATTACTAACATTAAACATTAATATATCTAATAAAATTGTGTTGTTACTAATTGACACTAATATATTATATTTTATCACATACATTACCTACAGTTACATTGTTTAGTTTTGAAAAATGATGTCGATTCTGACATGATTCTTTAAACCTAAACTTAAATTTGACAACAGTGGTGTCGATTCTAGCATGATTCTCTAAACCTAAACTTAAATTTGACAGCAGTATATCCTTGTCATTCTCTATACAGAATGAAAAGGAGAGACTGATGTCAAATTTAGTTTTAAGTTTAGAGAATCACGCCAGAATTGGCACCAGTGTATCCTTGTCATGCTCTATACAGAATGAAAACGAGTCACGAGCGAAAAACCATGTCAGAATCGACACCAATATCGGTAATGGACATTAGTGGTTAGCATTATATTTTGGCACCTTTTTTTAATTTAGCATATTTTTGAACGTCGATTTAGCATGAAATATTTTTGGAGTTGGGAGCACTGACAGAGGTGCGCGAGTGGGTGTGCGTTGCGCCGATTGGCTCTCCAGTCGTACCCATGAGCAGCTATCCCAGATGCGTTTTGTTCAGCGCTAGAGATACGTGCCGCGACCTGTATATGTGAGCAAATGCTCATAACTAGACCAAAACTTGGTTTTTATTGCGTCGTTGCTCGCGGGTGTGAGCGCTGATTAGTTAGATTGTTTGATGTCACGCCTTTTGATTGGCTATTATCTATTAGGTGGAAGTGTAGTGCGGGTGAGCCGGGGACATCGATTCCGTACAAACGGTCTCCAATCACCCTTCTATAATCTTTCTGTATTCTGTGCTTTATACAATTGCGCGTATATGATAGAGCACTCTTTGGGATTTTTCGTATCTTCAGTACCAAGTGGCAGTACCGACTCTGTTGTCAGGCGGGTCTCTAGAGCAGCAGTAAGAATCTATCTACTACTCCCAATGTTTAGTATTTAATGAAGATGATAATTGAATATGCGCTTTTCGTTCTTTGAGCCGGATATTCCGTATCTTCAGTACCAAGTGGCAGTACCGACTCTGTTGTCAGGCGGGTCTCTAGAGCAGCAGTAAGAATGTACTACTCCCAATGTTTAGTATTTAATGATAATGATTGAATCAACGCTTTTGGTCCTTCTAGCCGGATTATCCGTATCTTCAGTACCAAGTGGCAGTACCGACTCTGTTGTCAGGCAAGCCTCTGGCGCATCAGTAAGAATCTCCTACTTCCGATTTTTAGTATTTAATGATAATGATGATTATGATTGAATGATGATGATTGAATATGCGCTTTTGGTCCTCAAAGCCAGATATTCCTTATCCTCAGTACCAAGTGGTAATACCGACTCTGTTGTCAGGCGGGTCTCTGGCGAAGCAGTAAGAATCTACTTCTCCCGATGTTTAGTATTTGATGAAGATGATGATGATTATGATTGAATCAACGCTTTTGGACCTTCTAGCCGGATTATCCGTATCTTCAGTACCAAGTGGCAGTACCGACTCTGTTGTCAGGCGGGTCTCTAGCGCAGCAGTAAGAATCTCCTACTCCCACTGTTTAGTATTTGATGATGATGATAATAGGGATGAGTACACTTATAAGTGAAAATTCACTCAAAAGTGACATCACGAGCCCCTACTCCCAAACTTAGACGCGCTATAACTTTGTCATTTTTTGGTTGATTGCCCAAAGAAAAAATACGTGTCAATTATTTTTTGATCATCTAACTGACGGACTTAATAGAATTTCGTTTACTGTACCCCGTCATCACCCCTATTGAATCAGCGCTTTTGGTCCTTCCAGCCGGATATTCCGTATCTTTAGTACCAAGTGGCAGTACCGACTCTGTTGTCAGGCGGGTCTCTGGCGCAGCAGTACGAAGCTAATACCCCCAGTGTTGCCAATCCAAGACAGAGTACGCTGACTGCGCAGACTGCACCAGAGGTTATGTCGTTGAGTGCGGTGCCTGGTAGTGGTTGGACGGTCAGGAGGAGTAGGAGACCGAAGGCGCTGAGAAGAGAGAAGGAAGATAGGACTATGTAACCTGTGAAAGAGAGAGATGTAGGTTAGTACTTACATATTGTTGTAGTGAAACTTCTTTACGCACGCTTGACTTTGGGAGTAAGCTGGCGAACGCGTTAAGCGTTAAGAAAAGTGTGAATAAAGAAATCCACCTAAGTCAATTAAAATATTTATCAATATTCAAGTCAAATAGAGACAAACATTTCAAACATGATTATTTAGCTTAAAAAATTGAAAAGTTTTAATTAAATCCAAGCGGATCAGGCAGTAGACGGGACTCGAACCCGCACCCTTCGCAATCCGGGCGAATGCATGACCAATTATGCTACCGCGGCTCTGACGGCTGCGTCGAAATTTTCCTATCCTTAAGCTGCAAGGCTTAAGGATTTCTTTTTTTTCTATTAAAACTTTTCTTTGGATTTAAACATCTAACAGTTAAAAGCTTAAAAATAAAACATAACTTTAAAAATTGATTTAAGAATTTTTATAAAGTGGGGCAAAGAATAGTTAACAATTTGATTAAAAATAAAAACAAATGGCCTCTTCTATGTTTTTGATTTTACTCCCAGTTGCAATAATTAAATTTAATAGGTAAGTAGCAGAAAAAGTTTGTTCAGCACAAGAAGCCCGCATGTGGTAAAAATGCAATAAAATTATTAGGTAGCAAAACTTAACGGTTGATGCATGCGGGTAAATTTATTACAATTGAATATTTGTTTCTTAGGTTTTCACGCGCATCACTCATTAAATAAAACTAGTTTTACGGGTTAAGGCACGAACTTTATTTATTTATTGACGCTTCGCAGCCTTTTCAGGTCTGCATCGTCAGAATAATTATTCTGCGATACGCGAAACTCGAATTGCGAAACGTCAATCTATATATATAAAACTCAAAGGTGACTGACTGACTGACATAGTGATCTATCAACGCACAGCCCAAACCACTGGACGGATCGGGCTGAAATTTGGCATGCAGGTAGATGTTATGACGTAGGCACCCGCTAAGAAAGTATTTTGATCAATTCTACCCCCAAGGGGATAAAATAGGGAATAAAAGTTTGTATGAAACTTTGTCAATTTTAAACCGATCGGGCTGAGACTTTGCATGCAGGTAGGTATAAGAAGAATCATAGATGAATGTCATTGTGTATAATACAAGCCTGAGGACAAAAACTGTAGTCTACACTTCAGCTCTACACCGAAGCGAAGCGAGGGCGGGCCGCTAGTAAATAAATTACGTTCGTGCATTAACCCGTTAAAACTAGTTTTATTTACAATTGAATAGTTAAGTCCTCCGTGCTTCGGAAGGCAAGTTAAGCCTTTGGTCCTGGCTGCATCTGCAGTCGTTAGCACCCACCCACCCGCACTGGGCCCGCGTGGCGGGACATAGCCCAATCTACCTATTCTATCCATAGGAGAGGCCTGTGCCCCAGCAGTGGGGACATTAATAGGCTGATGATATTGATGATGATATTATACTAGAAATAATGTGCAAAAGCGAATACAATTAAGTATAAAGATCGAGAAGAAAGACTGTTATTCTTACCGGAGACGTAATTCCTGTTAGGGAGAAGATGCTGTCTTCTAGATCTGAAGCCCAGGAGACCGAGCAGGAAGCACGTGAAACCAGCCAAGACACCGAAGTCTAAATAATACCGTCTCCCGAGCTGAAATTGAAAGTATGTAAACAACATTATTATGACAAAATATACGGTGTAAAATTGATGACCGCTCTTTCTGAAATCCGTTTTCATAATCATAATCAAAATCATTTATTCAGTTTAGGCTGTTACAAGCACTCATGGATGTCTAGATTCTTCACCATCAGTACCATTAGTACGAGTTTTACAATTACGATCTGTCTGATTATATTACAGACAAAAATGCTTGGGTTTGAACTGTTCCAATCATTCCAACAGGTTTTCTATATTAAATAAATCATAATTGTATTGACGTTGTAACAACATAATGATTTGTAAATGTTGTTACATTAGACTTTTAATGTTGTGGAGTTTTTTTCGCTCGTTTTTCTCCGCAGCTAAAAAATATGTCTATAACGAGTGGTAGGGAAAAAAAATTTTTGGACGATTCAAAAGAGTTGTACTATACATCCAATTTGAATAAAGATATATTGATTTCTGATTTGATTTCTGATTGACGAAATTTTTTTTCGTGAGCTCGCACTCGTTGTTTTCGTTTCAATACAAATAAACAGTGTTTAAATTCTATCATTAAATCATTTGCGTCTTCTTAAATTTTAGTATATTCGGTTACTTTTCACCAAAATGGACATAGAAACATAATTTACAATTACGAAAACTATGATAGTTTTTTCGTGAACGCAAACTCGTACTAAGGGTTACAGTTCGTAAATCTACGGCGGGAGACCTTGTACTGAGAAGAACCGGCACGAAACTCAGCAAGGGCTGCTTTTTTCTCCCTGGTTTAATAATTTACAGTCGTCAAATAAAAAAAACAGAGAAGTTTAAAATAATATAATACACAATTCTTTATTGAAAACAACACAGTACAGTATATAAATCGGGTAAATACATTATGTTTAAACAGAGTGATTCAATGGGCGGTCGTGTCATTAAAAGCGATTTCTTCCAGACAACCTTTGGATGGAGAGGATTGAAAGATACTGGAGACGGTGGTGTTATTAAAAGAAACAAGGGATATAAAAATGTATGTAACTATATTATATTAAATATATATACTACTATAAATACATAATATATACACTTAATGTTACTATAAGATATATAAATATATGACACATACATACATAGCCTACACATATATAAGTTTAGTCCAGTCAGAAAAAAAACGACAGGTTGCACTCCGGGAGTGCCGGCAGAAGTGAAAACTTGAATATTAACGTTGTGCATTTTTGATATTTTGGAATGGTTGGTTAGGGAATAAATTTGCACGAATTGCTTTAATTATCAGTATAAAAGTACTATCATGTATGTGGTAGAATACAATATTTATTTATTGCGCTATCGTACACAAACATGACAATTTATATTAATTACATCAAAAAGTTTATCTCTCAGAATTTCTCATTTAAGCGCACCTAGCGACATCTATTGTAAAAAAAATGCATTTTCTGCGCAATAAAGCTGCCACTAGCTACTCCTAGATAGAGACTTATTATTATAACACGGTAAAATAAAATATTACTATGTTTCGTCCAATATATTGAAAGTCAACAACCGTTCCAATTTTATTGTGTGTCATGATGCGATCAGCCCACGTGTTTAACCTGACGCGAGTTTAACATTTTTTACCCATACAAAAAAAAGTGTACAACGCCGCTAAAGAAGTTTTCACTTCAAAAATAGGGTGATGACAATTTTTTTTCTTCGCCTATTAGATAGATTATCAAAAAGTATTAGACACGTTGTTTTCTTTATTCACATAATCAAAACATTACAGATATAATATATTGATATGAAATGTCTCAGAACGTGACGTCTTTAAACAAGTTTTACTTAGAAGTGACGTCACGAGACCCCCAAACCACCAAACTTTGACGCGCTATATCGTAACCCACAAATGCCAAATGAATACCTTTACAAGTATAACATTTGAAAGGAGAAATAGCAATCATAGATCGATATTTATTTTTTAAGAATTTAACTGCTATTAGCAGTCCCGTCTTTGACCTATTGGAGGCCCTGGGCATATTAGGATAATGGGGCCCCTATGACTTCCGTTTGGAGATTTAACAGGAACTAGGGACTTTGTATTTGATCTGAGGGGCCCTATCAATCGCGGGGCCCTGGGCACTTGCCCAACGGTAGTGTATATATTCTGTGCCCAAAGTGCCCACTGGGAAAGAACGGGTCTGGCTATTAGTTTAAATCTAAAGAAAATACGGTGTGAGTTCTAGTCCCGTCTAGGATTTTTTCTAGTAAAACATCTAGCAGTTAAATGCTTAAAGAATAAAAATATGATTAAAAAGTTTGTTTTCAAAATATAATAAATTATTAATAGATAATGTTACTTACAGTGTACATCATGTTGAAACTAAGGCCTGTCGTCAGGGCTCCGCAGAGGGTCAGCATCAAAGCAGCTATAGTTAGCGGTGCCGCACTGTTAGGTTTGAGGGTTGTGAAAGACTTGTAAGTCGTCTCCGAGTACTCTGAAGGCTCGGGAGGGGGCGCCACTCTGGAAAATGTTGTCATCGTCAGCAGAGATAAATAAAATAAATAAATAAAAATAAATAATAGGGGTGATGACGGGGTACAGTAAACGAAATTCTATTTAGTCCATCAGTTAGATGATCAAAAAATAATGGACACGTATTTTTTCTTTGGGCAATCAACCAAAAAATGACAAAGTTACAGCGCGTCAAAGTTTGGGAGTAGGGGCTCGTGACGTCACTTTTGAGTGAGTTTTCACTTATAAGTGTACTCAAACGTGACGTCATGCGACTTTTCAAATCAATATATCTCTGTAATGTTTAAATTATGTGAAAAAAGAAAAAATACGTGTCCAATACTTTTTGATAATCTACCTGATAAACGGAGAAAAAAAAATTAGTCATCATCCCTTTTAGCCTAGCCCCAAAGTAAGCACTATAAAGGCTTGTGTTATGGGATGCTAGGGTAACGGATAGAATACATATACTGTACATATATAAGTATATTTATATAGAAATACATATTAAACATCCATGACTGGAGTATAAATGCTCGTATTCATTACACAAACATCTGCCCCCCACCGGGATTCGAACCCGGGACCTCTCGAGTCGGCGAGACCATGAAACCGGGCGTACAAACCACTCGGCCACGGAGGTCGACAAGATACTAGGAAGTCAAGTATTTAGATAACAGATACAAGTTCATCATCATCATCAGCCTATTAATGTCCCCACTGCTGGGGCACAGGGCTTCCCTATGGATGCAATAGGGAGATTGGGCCATGACCCACCACGCGGGCCTGGTGCGGGTTGGTGGGTGCTAACGACTGCAGATGCAGCCGGAACAAGCGCCTTAACGTGCCTTCCGAAGCACGGAGGAGCTCGAGATAGTAAATTTTCGGTCACCCATTCAATGACCGACCACTGCGAAAGTTGCTGAAATTCAACGATCGCAGTGGAACGCGCTAACCATTTGCGCCATTGAGCTCCTGCAGGATAGGATACAAGATACATTTGAAAAAAGTATTTGAAATTCTCGATACAAGATACGTATCTTTGCTATCCGAGCGAATGCACTGACCATTGTACTACGGCGGCCTAGATGGTCGTATCGAATTTTTTCTAGCCTTTCTTAAAGTTTAGATTAGATTTAAACGTCTCGAAGTTAAATGCTTATAAAACTATACGTGTGCCAAATTTCATCCGAATCCGGTAAGCCGTTTTTTGCGTGATGAAGTAACAAACATACAATCTTTCAGATTTATAATATAAGTTAGGATATTAATGATGACTTTCAATGTTTCATTAAATATTGTGCTTTAGTTTTATTGTATCTTAGGTTTTAAATATCGTTGCATTTAGACTTCAATTTCTCTGGAATTATCAAAAAACCAAGATACTCTATGGAAAACACTAGATCTTGAATCCGTAGTTGTAAATAATGGCAAGCAACGCGACTACAGCAGACAAAAGCCGGCTGTCATGTCACTGTGACGGTTAGAGTCTGTGCGGAAAGAGAATGGGCGTGGCGAAAAACGGAACTTTTTATTTGGCAATCAAACCCAGCAATCTATAAAACGTCAAAGTTTTGTATTGATACGGATTTGTTTGTTGTTGTGGTTTCTTGCGGTTCTTTGTATTTAATCATGTCTAAAAGGGGTAAAACCATACAAATACGGTAGAAAAGCACTACAGCGCCCTCCAATCTAAATCCCATTCTGTTTCCGCACAGACTCTAGTCTGTTTTGCATTGTGACAGACATTATGTGATGGAAGTTGACCTCAACACATGTTTGCAAGTTTGATGTCAACTTTCAATTGGACGACTCTGTATGAAATAAAACAGGGAGAAAAAAGCAGCCCTTGCTGAGTTTCTTGCCGGTTCTTCTCAGTACAAGGTCTCCCGCCGTAGATTTGCGAACCAATGGCGTAGCTTTTCGACATTCACAAGTGCTTGTAACAGCCTAGACTGAATAAACGATATTGAATTTTGAATTTTTGCTCTCCCGTTAAATAACATTTAGGTAAACGAGACGGCAACATATGAACATAGATTTACTTTTGGCGGTGCACAAAGTTAATAGAAAAGTAAAGAGAAATTTTAGAAAATAAAGTATTTTACTAAATAAAGTATCTTCAAAATACTAACATAATGGAAAAAAGTATTTAAATACAAGATACATGCAAGATAAATTTCAAAAAAGTATTCGAAATACAAGATAAAGACACTTATTACGTATCTTGTATCTGTATCTTAGATACTTTTATCTTAAGTTACATCTCTGATCATCAGCCTATAAATGTCCCCACTACTGGGGCACAGGCTTTCCCTATGAATGGAATAGGGAGATTGAGAATAGGGAGATTATTTTCCGCATAAACGCACGCATTTATACAAAATTGTCTATGCTGGACCAAGAACGTTCGAAAAACAAAGAACGCTGCAGCTGCCAAAGTTAAACGGTTAAACATTTCCGTTAAGTTACTGAAATCTATCAGGTAACACACCTTAAATACTTAGTAATTCAAACCAATTAATTGAACTACCAGAGAGACGGCAAAACGCCACAGATATACTGCAGAGGTCCCGCAAACTCGTACTAAACGGTTTGCTTCCACTAGCTAGGCTAGGCTAATTGGTGTATGGTGGAAGTATTTATTTATTAATCAACATTTAAATAAAATAGCGTCAAGGAAAACCTTTCCCCTATACGTATATTTAAGCTCCTTGAGTTTACGCCAAATTGACGCTCCTGAACAATGAGCCACGATGACTTGCGTTACAAAATAAAAAGAAAACAAAAACTTCGAAAAGATGCCTCTTTATAGGTTTTTTCCGGTTACATTTCGGAGAGCGTGCTTCGGAGTTACATAACCTAATTCCACCTTCACCGTTTTACCACAGAACTACCAGAGAGACGGCAAAACGCCACAGATATACCGTAGAAGTCCCGCAAACTCGTATTAAACGGTTTGCTTCCACCTATATCGTCAGAACAGCTAGGTTGTGGAACTATTTGCCGGAATCTCTGTCTCCAATCACCTATAATCTGGCGCTCATCAAGTCGCGAGTGAATCGATTACTTCTAGGTAAGCGCGTCCCACCTTAGGCTGCGACGTCGCTCTTCATCAGGCGCTTGGCCGTCAAGCGTAAAAAAAATTGTGTGTGTCAGCTCCGACGCACGACTGGAGTTTACTCCTTAAGTTCGATAGTCTAACCAGACGCAAAAAGAGTTTATTTAACTTTAAAAAAGATTAATGTCAATCCGTCATCTTTGTTTGTCAAAGTTGCGCGACATAGGATGCGCACCAAAAACGTAACGAGGTCATTCATCGATAGATTTTACTCCTCACATTTTTCTCATACCGGGCCCCTTATATCGATCGATTCGAAGCAAATCGATTCTTAAGGAGTAAACTCCAAAAAAATCAAAACCAAAGAAATAGATTTTCAATAAAAAAAACATACCTTGGCATTATGACAGCAGTTGTTTTATCCTTTAGCTCTCTCCCTCTCCTGTCATACTCTCTCCTGCTTTCCCTGCTAGCTTCTCTCCTATCCATATCGAAGCTTCTATCCCTACTCTTTTCCCTGAAACTGGTCACGAAAACATCTTGCCGTTCAAACTCGGGTATACCGTAATTCAACTTCTGTTGAGCTTTAGGTGATATTGGAGACGTTGTGACACTTCCTCTTGATATGGTGAGGTTAGCACAAGACTTGGAAGGTGTCACACCTTTAGTAGGTGTACTGGAAACCATCTTCCTTGGCGTGACGTATCTGTGAGGAGTTTCAATAGATTTATTTGGAGTGATGTGCACAGAAGGCTGGCTAGCGTAACTTTTCAATTTCCTGGGCGTTGATAGAAGCTCGTGAAGTTTCTGCGTGGCAATAAGGTTCTTCCTTGACATAGCTGGAGAAGTGAACGTAACATTCACTCTTTTGACCGGCTCTTCGTCCTCAGACGGCACTATCGCGTACCTCAAAGTCTTTCCGTTTACAGTCTTCACTATTTCAGCGGGTATCTCTTTCATTTCATTGTCATCTGGTCCGTCAACGTTGTATTCTTCTATGTCCTCAGCTTTCTTGTGTATGATTCTCTTTTTTGTAGGAGAATAATCCATTAGGTCGTCCAAATCGTCTCTAATTACCTCGTATCTGTGTTTGAGTCTGCTGTCCTCTAAGCCGTCGTCGCTTTCTGCGTTTCTCGATTCGTATTTTGATTGTCTTTGCTGCTTCAATTGTGCCATTTCCAAGTCTTCGCTCCTAGTCCTACTGCGGATTGAAGTCCTTGCTGTTTTGTACACTAAAGACGATTGTCTTTGGAAGCTTCTGTTCAAATACTTCGCTGGCTTTGGAGGGAGCTCTGGGGGCTCGTCCCTCATCCTACCAGCTGGTGATATCCTCAAGGGATTGTCTGATATATCAGTCCTTAAGATTCTGTTTGCGAGGTCCATTTTGCGAGGCGAATTCGCTCCGAGAGGCGGTATTCTCTTTCGATCCGGCGTAAGGACTTTCGATACACATTGCTTCTGGAATACCACTTCGCTTTGCGAGCAAAACGCTGGGTTCGAATAGTATTTGTACACAATCTTGGGAGATTCCATTTTTATTATTATTTAAGCGTATGTCTTCCCCGTATAATTTAACTTATGTTATTATGTTTGTTAAACCATGACGTTGTACGTCGGGTGAAGGGTGATTTTTCGAGAGTAACACTAAATTACACTTAACACTTAACTTAGACTAACACTTTTGGATGTTTATAAACTTAACACTATTTTTTCCTGGTATTTTACTTTGCTAGTCTTGAATTTTGTATTTATTTATTTGGAGCACTAGTTGTGTTTGTGTCTTGTCCTGTCAATGATTATGAGTCAACTGCCGTAGTTTTTGAAAAACGTTGGGGTCGCGATTATGGCGCGCGCGCACCCTATCATAGGTACGTTTGAATACACTCCTGTCAGTCAAAAATAAACTTTAATCTCATTTGGATAAGGCAGTTTTAGCCTGCCATGGTACAAGTAAGTCCTAAATGTCTCGAGTTATTTTGGTTTCGACTATATTTTGCTAGGATGTAAGGTTCAAAATTGAAAATGCCGTGAAGTTATGCAATTATTGAATGAAGCGAACTGTAGACTGACGGACGGAAAGCCGGCGCGGTGTTTTGAGGAATGTGTGTACAGTAGGTACGTAGATGTAACCTTCAAACTCAAATTGCGATAATTTTTTAGTTCTTTCAAGCCCTTTTAGAATTACCAATTTAAATGTAAGTAAGTGCCTACCCACTTAGGAAGGTCAATATTTTATTTAGGTTGTTCCTTAACTTAAGTAAAAACTTATTTCATGTCACTAAATGCTAGACAATTTTAGAGTAAAATCCGTCGACAGTGTATTAGTTTTAATACACTATCTTTGGTAAATAAATTTTTAATAACTACCTTTGGTAGAATGAGTAACATATTGCAAGTAAAGATTACCTAATGTCTCTGTACAATTACTAACTGATTACAAAAAAATCTTAAGCTTTTAGTTAAGTACTAATGCTTTTAAGATAAAAACTTGTATGAAGGTAAAAAATAATGCACGTATTTTGTGACACAGAAAAAAGTATCGTTGTTTGCGTTAAATAACAAAAAACAAATATTACCTATATTTGTTTCTTAGGTTTTCACTCACATCATTCAATAAATAAAACAAGTTTCAACGGGTTAGATGCACTGATTTTATTTATTTATTCAGACCAGGCGCGGTCGCAACTGAAATTTTGGAGGGGGTCACTCACTACCTACACTAATAAAAATCTGGAATAAAATAAACATTATTGCATAAGACACAATTTAGTTTATACATTACTTACAAAATATTGTTATACAATCTTTATCATAACGACGCATATCGATTTTTCTAGGATTACCAAAACTATGTAGTTCGGTTCCTTGTTTCTAAACTAGTACTTATTAGATGTCATTTCCAAGTTATTTTGGCCATCGTACGTAGTTCATAAAAACACCAATAAATGTCAACAAACTATAAATTTATCGCCGTTAGGAGATAGCTAGAATTTTCCTTTTATTATTTGGCAAATTTTTGAGATTTCCGACGACGCATTCCTGCAAAGGACGCGTACGTCAATAAATAAATACAATCAGGGCATCCAACCCGTTGAAATTTGTTTAATTAAAAAAATATATTAGATAACCTTTTGTTTAAATTAATTTCTCCACAGTAAGTACCCATCCTTTAAGTTTCGCATGCGTCTCATCTCACCTGCTGTGTTTTGTCTCTTTCGCGCAGTACAGTCAACACACGAGGGTCGGAGGGTGGCGCGTGCGCGGCGTAACGGTCGCGCGCAGCTGCGCACCGTCACAGCTGCAAGCAGGGATGCACAACATGGATGCGGGACTCTAATCTAACATTATAATGCGAATTAAACATTATGACGGCTGTGACAAGTTCATATTCATCATCCAAATCATCATCCAAACACAGTGATATAGACATTTTTTTATTTTTTTTTACGCAGGTAAAAAATGCTATTTACAGACGACGGCGCCTTTAAGAGGCACACCGCCGAACGGACCTCACGCAGTGATATAGACATGTCTTCTTCTCTTCGCAAATTTAAGTCTGCTCTTTTAGACTCCTTTGTACCCACATAGAACCACAACGGCGTCGATTCTAGCAAGGTTTTCTAGGCCTACACTTGGATTTAACGGCAGTGTATTCTTGTCATTCTCAATACAGAGTGCAAGTGAGGGACTGATGTTGGATCTGTTTTTGGGTCTGGAGAATGATTTCAGAATGGATATGAATATGTACCTAATATTAAGTTTAGTAGTTTTGAAGTGTTTGTACTAGGTTCCCTTATATTGTTTATCGTAAGTCTACTACGTAAGTAAATTTTTACGCATGCAGTGGCAGCCTTTATGCAAGGCAGCACTAAGAATTGTTTTCTTTATTTCTTTCTCAGTCTATATTTTTATTTGGAGTTTGTTTTGTTGGCTGTCCTTAATAAATAAATATTCATAAATGGACTATGTGAAGCAGTGTTCCGCAATCATTTTATGTTCAAGGTAAGGCTAGGAAAAGGTAAATTAATAATATACATGTAAAGTCAGAAACTTCACATATGGAGTCGGTGCCATGCATATTGAATTGATAGATCTGAATTTCCATTTACTGCTTAGTCGTTCAACTTAGGTATTACAAAAATTTCTATCCTAATATAAATTCCTTACAAACAATAACCAATAACGGTATTTATTTGGCTATTTCCGCAGGGTAATTTTTAAATCAATTTATAAACCAAAATTCAGCGTAATCGCTTCTGTGGTTTAGGCGTGAATGCGTAACACGGTCACTTTCGCATTTATAACATTATTTAGGATTAAAAGGTATCCTATGTCTTACCTCGGCCATAATTTCAGTTTATGACCCGGCGTACCAAATTTCAACCAAATCCGTGTATTTCTAGTTAAACAAACATACAAAGTTAAAAAAATCCATATACTGTATAAATCCACATGTATAAATTAGTAGAATTAAGTAAGCCTAAAGGGACTCCTTTTAATAACATATTTTAGGTACTATATTTTATTTTTTAATGTTTTTAGTTTTAGGTTCATTGTTCTGTTCTTGTTATGTTAACTTTTATGTATCAAGTATGACTTACCAGAACATGTGTTAGTAAGCTATAAATTTAAGTATTTTTGAAGTGAAACTTATTTACGCACGCGGATAGGATTACCATCCGTCCGGATTTCGGACATGTCCGGACTCAGTAGGGCTTTTTAATTTGTCTGGATTTTTTTTATTACATGGAATATGAGTAAAACTACTTATTAGGTTATATCAAATAAGTCAAATAATCTTTATTAAGTTCTCATTAATTTAAAACAAAATATAAATCATTTTTAAAAATTTACAACGAAACACCCCTCGCGATGCGAGCGTCTGCTACCACGTGTATAATATCACTGTAACTAAGTGGATGATATTTGCATTTTGTGACTAAAATGTCCGGACTTTTATCGAAATATCCGGCTTTTTGTCAGGACTTTTCAAATAGTAACCCTACTTGGTGAGTGAACTTGGCGAACGCGTTGCGAAAAGTGGATGGAGTTGAGTGGTGATATAAGCAAGAGAAAGCAGTGGGCGCACATATTTTCTTTCTCTCTTCCTCTCATAGCCAAATACGTTCCGTATATCTGAGCACAGTGCAGGCCTTTTTTTTTGCAAGTCCCTCTGACATAAATAGAGACTTTTTATATCCTATTATTATTTTGTATCTTATTCATTTCTAATTAACATCCGTAAGTGTAGATATATATATTAATGTATATTTTTTGTTAGTTATATTTTATTATTCGTAAGTAATAACCATAACCATTCGTAAGTGCAGGCCTATTGTCTGTATCACAGTGTAGGAGCAAGAGAGAGAGCAGCACATTTACTTTAGTCGTGTGCTGCCGTCCTCAAACTAAAATGCGGCTAAGTGACATGCGGTCGATTTTTCATTCTTAAATTGCATCTTATACAGTTTTTAATTCTTTATCGATCTGTCTTTAACAAATATTCGTATCTTTTATAGTTTAAGTCTAAAAATCTGTCATGTGATGAATGGTTACAAAGTAGCAATAATTTAAAGTTTACGCGCCGTTTTTTGGCCATATCTCAAAAGTTGGTTTTGTCATTTAGCCGCGTTTTAGCTTGAGGACGGCAGTGTGTTCATAAGCACACTCATTTTTTTTTACTTATTCGTAAAGGTTGATCATCCCTGCCGCTACCAGTCGTCGACCTATTATCGAAGCCATTGAGTAATGAAAATATCGACTGTTCGTATTCGCAAACAAAAAAAGCTTTTGAAAAATTGATTCCTTTGACCTTGTTGTTTTGTTTTGTATTTTCTGTGGGCTTTGGGTGTTAAATACCTAAGCGCTGTTGTACACTGTTCATATCGTATCTTAGGTAAATTATATTAAGCGCTGAGTTTAATTGGAGCGTGGAAGATAGAAACAAATAAAATCCAAATAAAATAGGTAAAATTCGCTTGTATTACTTTCAACGTTTACTAACGTTGTCACCGTGTTAATGTGGCCACAATTCCAACGCGTACAAAGAAATTTGGTGACTCATTTCTTTGTCGCACTATATGTAAATGGAATGCTCTGCCCGCTCACGTGTTCCCTCCCTCTTACAACCTGGGATCCTTTAAAAGAGGCGTGAAGAAGCAACATGCAGGCCGGCAGGGTGAGGATGGCTGGTGTGGCAGGTAGAACTGCTGTATCAGCTATCTTCGCGTCTGGACTTCACCTTCACTTAACATCAGGTAGTTTATTATAAATTATTTATAAATTTGATAAGCCATAAAGTTGTCTTACTGATATTTTTATGTTGTTAGCTGCTAACATTCTAGTTTAGATAGTTATACTTTGGCTATTTTGAGAATCTGTTATTATGAAAATCTCATTATTTTTGCGAATAACTTATTTTGGATTGCCGATGTTATGCGAGTAATTGAAACTGACGACTGTTTTACAAGATAACCTTTAGCTCCGACAATAACTTAACGTGTCGTATTTTTTTTTTTCTTTTTTTTTTAGAGGCTTTTATTCTATGGATATGCCAGCCTCATCGTACCCTAACCAAAACATACATAACTAATTTATTTAAAACATTGGAGAGGGCGAGCTATTCTTACTAGCGAAAACCATATCAAACATCGACTTTGCTGCATCTGAGTTTGGTAGTGCTAATATTTCCACAAATGAACCTATATTTTCAAAGTTAAGTTGATATTGTTGTATGAATAGCTCTCTCTCTCTTCTGTTCTTCACACATTCCATCAAAATGTGTTGAACATCGTCCACTTTGTTAC